AAAAACCATACCACAATACACACACACACACACACACATACACACACACACACACACACACACACACACACACATACACACTTTACTTGTTCCTAAAACTTTACATTTCTGCCCTGGCAGTTTGCACCTTGAATGAGGTGTAAAGGGAGATCCCTATCTCTAGTTCGTTCATCTGAGTTTTAGCACAGTGTCTATACTCTCTAAATGTTGAAGACTAACACAACTCCTACACTAACAATATACTAAATGTGGGTCTAACTAGCTTTTTCTCCAAGGCAGGGCTGGCTTCCATTAGTGGGTCAAAACAAGGTGGCAGGCTCAGCCCAGACTTATTTGTGTACTCAGACTGCATTTTCTGCCTGAATAGCCTCAAGGCCACAGAGTCATCTGTGGAACCTTAGCCAGAATATCAGAGCCAGAAGCAGCACAGCACCCTATGCTGCACACTCCCTTTTCAAGTTATTTTGCAGGAAATGAGGCCCTAGTGGGAGTGCAGAAGAGATCTGACCAAGGCCCAGTAGAATCAGTAACAACAGCAATATTGTCAGGCTAGGCCTTGTGACTCCCAGATCAGTACACCCTTTACAATGTTCCACTCTTCTCTCAGGCCTCTCTGGAGCCTCCTACTCAGTCCCCACACTATTCCAGGCCAGTCTCATTCTAAATACAGAGGTTCACAGTGGCTGCAGTGGAGCTCAGCCCTAGCAGTCTTTGCAAGGAGCTATTTGTGAACTTGAGAATCTTTTTTTTTTTTTTCAGTCATCCCCCGTAAGACTAAGAGTACTCATTTCTTTCCACCCTTCTTTTCTGTCTTTTCTCTTGCTTCCCCTTCTCACATTCCTCAGGTATACCTTTATTAAGTTCTTACTGAACACCAAATCAGTGCCTGGCCTATACTAGGCTACCCAGACCCTGTTTGGGGGAACTTGCACTCTAGTGGTGGAATGAAACAACATATAAAATAAAAAATAAAGACTTCTTTGAAGACAATGACAGTGTGAGTGTAGGGATCATGTTAAGAACAATTAGAATTCCAAGAGGGAACAATTTAATGTTCAATGCTTCTTCCCTAATCATAGATGAAATTCTGCTGGTCTGGCCATAGCACTCTCCAGCTCGCCCCTCTGGCTTCACAACTTACACACTTGCATCATCATGTTCCAATTATCCTAGAAATAGTTCTCATGCCCCTAACCATGTTTTTTCTCAAGTCCTTCTGACTTTGGCCTTCCTTTTATTCCTAGCTTTGACTAAAGTCTTGCCTTTTAAGACCCAGTACTAACGTCACCTAACAAGCAGTTCGAATTACTGGTTCAGACACTGTTAGTCTCTCTCCTCTGGGCCTTGCAGAATTCTTGGACAATACATTTTTTGTTTAGCACTTATCATTTTATTGTAATTTTGTTGACAGTCGGTACCACAAAACAGGGAGTTCATTTCTGATGAACTATGTCCGGTCAGAGGGGGTTCTCGATTACTATCGCTGAATGTTTCCTTCCCTTGATCCCTGAGCACTGCTTTCCATTTAAACGGATGCAGTTAAAAGACCCTTCTAAACAGTCCCTGATCTCCAATAAGGACAGGTACAACTACACTAAAGTTACTTCCTCATAACCATGTACCCACTTCTACTCCTACCATCTAAAATCCTTGGACCTGGCCTCATGGTTCCTAGGTTTCAGGAATCGAGCCAATGAATGACCTTTGGCTCTCCAGTTCTGCACTAGAAATTGGCTCAGGTAGTCTGCTCTTTATGTGTAGTTCAGTCTTTGAGGTCCAGGGGAAAGCATCATCGGGTTATATAGGGACCCGAGTCTTGAGTTCAAGACTCACCAATCTGGGCAGGAATCCCCACAACTCACCAATATAAAAGATGTTTAGACAGTACTTTCAGTTTATTACCTGTTTTGACCCTTACAAGTCTGTAAGACAAATATTATCCTTTTACAGGTGAAAATTTGGCATGATTTTACCCAAACTTGTTCCCATTATGAGGTAAAGCTTGGTTGAAACCCAGGTCTTTGGGCAACTTCTACCAGTGCATTTTGAACTTTGGTGTGCATCAAAATCACCCGAAGGGTCTATTAAACCAGATTGTTGCCAATTTTCAACCTCTCTGATTCAGAGAGTCTGATAGGATTCAAAAACTTGATCAAGCAATGTTGACATTGAAAGAAAACAGATCTTTACCAACCTAGTAATTGCTGTGGCTATGAACAAATTCCTTCCCTTTTTGTCTGCCTCTGGGTCTTGATATATTTCAAACAAGAGGGCAAGACTAAAACTGATTTTCCACACCTTAACAGCAAACTCCATCTTTCCAAAGAAATTATATATAGGATCACATATATAATAAAGTCAGGGCTGCTCTGGTGAAGTGGTAGGGAGGAGCCAAGAACTTGTAGCACCCATCTCTCCAGGTGCTGGAATACCTAACCAGAGTACATTTTCAAGTACCTGCATTAGAATGCCTAGATGCTTCTGAGAACTCTTCCAGCTGACATTGCAGTATGCTGGGAAAATTTTAGCCTTTGACATTGTGATGGGAGAGGGAAGAGTTAGAAACTTACTTTGTGTTAACCAATACACAAAACTGCTTTGCCCATGCCTAATGCTTGGGTCCATATAAGAAATCTCAACCTTTTTGAGCCAGTGAGATTATGAAACACTTTGACAATAAAAGTTATGAACTAGCTCCTTAGAAAAATGATTGTAACACATAGCTGCCAAGGTATTTAGGGGTCTTAACTCAAGGTAAAATCCTTCATTAAAGGGCCAGAGGTGTAGCTCAGTAGTAGAGCATTTCCCTAGTACACACAAGGCCTTGTGTTTAATCCCCAGCACCCCAAAACAAAAAAACCCTTGGTTGGAGTTTTTATAATGTAAGTCCTCTCCATAATTTCTTGGCACGACCATCTATAGAAATTCCATCAGGCACTTAGCAGAGGTAACAGGTTATTACTTAGTAAATTTCTCCTTCCTCACCAGGCTGACAGCACTGAGGGTGAAAACACGATTTATCCCCATTTTCTTGGTAGCTCAGACCTGACATAGAGTAAGCACTCTGAGGTTAAGAGAGAGTGTCTGAAGGGATAAGGTGACAATAGAGAAGTGGCTCTGGGTCAGTCTCTAGTTTTTTGGCTCTAATGCCCACTGCAGGCAAAGTCCACTCTTTTTCTTCTAGGGCGAAAGAGAAGTGACAAAGAAAGGCATAACTCTGGCTTTCAACTACTGTTTGGTATCCACTGAGGGCAGGTGAGGAGATGAACAGGAAAATGTGAGTCTTCTTCTCACCATCAGGAAGCTATGAGCAACCTACCTACAACAAATACACTGCAGTTTCTGTCTAGGATCTGGCCAGCAATGCCTCTCCTCTGTGGTCTCATGCTTCTAAGTGAACTGGCTGCACAGTACAGGTAAGGGGTGCAGAAATGGTTTGAAGAACCAGGTAAAAGGTACGGGTGAAATCTAGCTATGGGAGCAATCACAGCCAGTGGGCCCAAGGGGCCTCAGGATTCAGCTCCTGCTCAAAGCTTTGTTATCATCCAGCCTGCCCTAGAGCACCTAAAGGAAGAACTACACTGGTCTACTCTGGCATACACACCTTCATCTCACAAATATCAAAACTACAGTTGCCTGTTCATTGTTTTCAAAGCAAAGTAAAAGGGAAAAATCATTCCACATTTTATTATGGTAGAAAGCTGAGTTGATGTTTTGATCTGGGCTGTCTCCCAAATTGTATCATGGAAGATCAGGTGTACTGTGGGGTGAGCTGTTGCTCTGGCAGGGATGGATGAACACTTGGCATTAAGGCAGGCATCAGAATAGCTGCAGGCCAGTTTTGAGCCCGTGCAGCTGCCCCTGGCTCCAGAGAAGGCCCTCCAAGTTGCTGCTGCTGTTGCTGCAATTGCCACTGCCGACACCACAACTTAGGCCCAGGGTGCTGCGGAGAGAGTGGGAGGTCAGTCAGGGAAGAATGCGGGTTTAGGCTCTGGAGGAGCTAAAAGTGCTTGAGATGTGTGTGTCTATGGGAAGGGCTTACCCTCCTGCCTAGTTTATAAAGAGAAGCGATTTCAGGTAGGGTCCAGGAATGGCTCTGCCCTCCCCTAGGTGATGAAGAAAGGGAAGGAAGTATGGAACTGTTCAAATGAAGCATATATTGCTCCAGTACATAAAAACCCATGCAGAACTGTCTGGGTTGAGGTAACAGAGGGGTCCCACCCCGAGGAAGACACTGAAAAATGACTGCCTTAACAGGGTTTCTTTCCAAGGTCCTAGAGCTTAGAGGCCCAGAAGATTCTGGGCTGGATCCCTCCCACATCTAATACATATTTAAGGTGCCCAAAGCCACACTTGGTCTGTAGGGATAGGCCCAACTCCCATCCCACAATTTTTAAGACTGCTTAAGGGAGAAAACTGCCCTCTCTTTTCTCTGGCCCAGCTCAGAATTCTCTTGCTTCCTGCAGATCAAAGGTTCTTCCAGCTGGATGAGGTAACAGCTGAGCGCAAAGCTATCATCACTCCCCTCCGGCAGATCCATGGTCATACTCCTGCAGCTGAAAAAACCCTTTGAGATGATCTAGTCCCATGCCCTCCCATCACCCACAATTTTACAGACAAAGATATTGAGGTCTAGATGAGAAGGACTTTCCCAAGTCTACATAGAGAAGTCAGGGTGGAGCTGAGATAAGGAGGAGTGGGCATGGTCCACTTCAGCAGAGGAAGCCTCCCTATTATAGGTGCTATAGGGCCACAGCTCCAGCTGGCCCATACTTCACCCTTCAAAAACAGGTACTCATCTAGCCACCTTACACAGGCCTGGCTAGTTAGGGCTGAGAAAAGGAGTTTTTTAGACATGTAAATCTCACTGCCAACTGGCTACCTCTTAAGAAGCTTGATGTTCCCTTGTTTCAGACAGCATCCACAGCATTGCCTTGGGCCTGGCCTGCTTGTGGGGCTTGGGTTCTAGAGCCCTCTCCCAGAATGTTTAGACAAAAAGAGGTTCATCTCCTAGGGAACAAGCAAACAGCACAGGATGGACTCTCAATATCAAGAGCCCGCAGGGGTATCTCTTGGGTACTTATAGCTATGATCCTCCTGGACACAAAGCCCCAGTATTCTGGAATGCACAGGCTTCTGGGTGGGCTCCTTTGAGTTACTAGCATAGCACCTCATCAAGGGCTACTTGGTTCCTGGCTCCCTGATGACTCAAGGGCTTCCATGCCTGTGGTCCAAAGTCCAGTTTTGAGGAAAACCATAAAGCCCTGTGCAGGCCTTGCAACCAAGATGCCAGGACAGTGCAGAAGGCCTACTGATTATTCTGTGTACCTTTAGACAAATTCCTTCCCCTTTCTGGGCCTGTTTTCTTATCAAGAACAGAAGCATCATCTATTCTTGAGCTTTTTAGAGAATTTATAGAAGGTATGGACCCCTTTTCCCAAAATGCACGTGTGTGCACACGCATGTATATAAACATGCGCACGCACACACACACACACACACACACACACACAAATGCACACACAAACTGAATAAACTGCAAGTTCCTAGGGAACAAGCAAACAGCACAGGATGGACTCTCAATATCAAGAGCCCGCAGGGGTATCTCTTGGGTACTTATAGCTATGATCCTCCTGGACACAAAGCCCCAGTATTCTGGAATGCACAGGCTTCTGGGTGGGCTCCTTTGAGTTACTAGCATAGCACCTCATCAAGGGCTACTTGGTTCCTGGCTCCCTGATGACTCAAGGGCTTCCATGCCTGTGGTCCAAAGTCCAGTTTTGAGGAAAACCATAAAGCCCTGTGCAGGCCTTGCAACCAAGATGCCAGGACAGTGCAGAAGGCCTACTGATTATTCTGTGTACCTTTAGACAAATTCCTTCCCCTTTCTGGGCCTGTTTTCTTATCAAGAACAGAAGCATCATCTATTCTTGAGCTTTTTAGAGAATTTATAGAAGGTATGGACCCCTTTTCCCAAAATGCACGTGTGTGCACACGCATGTATATAAACATGCGCACGCACACACACACACACACACACACACACAACTGCACACACAAACTGAATTCAAACTGCAAGGGGTGTCAAGGCAGCGCTATGTGGCAACTTTACTGGCTTCCACTACTAAGGGAAAGAGGTCATATAAGGGCCCACTCAGCCTCTTATTCCCCAGTCATTCACCTACCCACCCCACTTTGTCTCCTTCTCTTCTTCCCACAAGTGGTAGACAGGCGGTGAGAAATCCTGTTGTCATGGGCACTCACCCAGTCTTGCACAATGGGGGTTCCAGCCGCTGCTCTAGCACAGGCTGGTCCAAAAGATACATGGTGTCATAGTTCTCCAGCATAAGCTCTGCTGGGTCCTCAGTCTGACCTGGCATGCGGCCTAAGGGGAATGTGTCCCATCGTACATCTTCTGTAGAGCAAAGAGAGGTAACAAAGAGTGGGTTGATGAGCTGGTTTTCTAATCAGTGCAGAGGCCCACCAACCCTGTCCATCCACCCAGCCCATTAGCCCACTTAATACGGTCTCTCTGGGCACCCTCAACTTCACTCCATTCTTTATCACTTCTCATGAGCACCTCTCCACTTTAGCATTCCACCACACATTTTTTTTTGAGACAGGGTCTCACTACGTAGTTGAGGCTGACCTGGAACTCACTATGTAGCCCAGGCTGGTCTCAAACTCACAGTGATCCTCCTGCCTCAGCCTCCCGAGTGCTGGGATTACAGATGTGCACCACCATGCCCGGTGAACCACACATTTTTAAATGGCCCTTCTTCCTCTCTATGTATTTACACACACACACACACTCCACCTTAGGACAGACCATGCCAGGCACTCCCTAACTCCCTGCCTTATCACACAGTATCACTGTATATCCTTTCTCCCCACTCTTATACAAATGAATCCACTGTTTTTAAGAGCAACTTCACTACTGAGTCCTGAGATTCTGTTTCTAGCTTCCTACATTCCCCTGGTATTCAAATAACCCTGATATAATGGCCCTGGCACTCTGTGAAGTATTTACTGTGGACCAGCTTTTTGCACAACCCATAGAGAAGCCCAAGAAAGCTTGTACCAAAATCATGTACATGTATCAAATTATCACACTGTACTCCATAAATACAATTATGTGTCAATTAAAAAAGAAAATAGGCTAGAGATTTAGCTCAGTTGTAGAGCAAGTGCCTAGCATGCCAAGGCCCTGGGTTCTATCCCTAGCATACGGAAAAGAAAAGGGAGGGTTGTTCCTCTGCTTGTTCTTCTCCCCTCCCCTGGCTTTCTTATAAGCATCTGTGTCTATCTTAATGCCCTGTACTGCCCTATGATATAGAGATAGCATAGGGGCCACCCCATTCATTGGCGCTGACAGTGACTTAACCATCCCCCTATCATAATCATCCCCAATCCTGTGTACTTCACTGACTTTGCCTCTTGAGCCTGAAACCCTTGCACATGACCCCTCAGTGACAGCAGGGACACAGACCCTCATGGGTCTTGGTGACCTTGCTTACTCTTCTGAAAACATATGTAGGGCAGGGGGTTTAACTCAGTGGTTCTGCCACGTGCCTTGCAAGCACAAGGACCCAAGTTCAATCCCTGGTACCAAAACACACACATACACACACAAACAAAAAACATAGATAACCATGGATGCATGTATACAACACTATACTACAAGGTGCTTCAGTGACTTCTTTCACTGCCCCTATTTTTCTCTTTCCCCAACAGATGCGCGTGCACATACGCACACACAAAAGTTAATGTGCTCACCCTTACCTAACACTCTCACTTGGGGCCTTTATGCCTCTCAGCCCTACCACACCTGTCCATGCAACAGTAATATAACACCTCTCCCCATAAACTCATTTACTGTCTCCTCTCTGGTTCCATCTTGCTACCCACCACACCTACATGAAACTATTCTGTCGATTTTTATGGGTCTGCCTCCCTTGAGGTTGCTGTTCCCCAACCTATATGGGGGTACTCTCCTGTCATCAACCTTCCCTAAATCCTCTTTTGGCTTTGATCTCAGGAACTTGTGCAAACACCTAAAATTCACACTACTCAGTATTCTCTCTTCTGATCTCAATTCTAAGTTCCTCTGATACAATGCCCTGGGTCCCTTTTAATGCACACAGCAAAATCCTCTTCCATTACCAGCTAGTCTCCATGTGTAGAGAAAGCACGGGCAGAATCATATATGTACATTGCACACCTCACTTTTTCCTACTTTATAAAAAAAATAATTCATTGAGGGCTGGGGATTTGGCTCAGTGGTTCCGCCACCTGCCTTGCAAGTGCAAGGGCCTGAGTTCGATCTCCGGTACCAAAAAAATAATAATAATTCATTGAAAACAAAGTTTTGTGCTAGTTTTTTATTCATAAGCATCTTTTTTCATCTGTCTTATACTCTGAGTCTACTTAAAATGTGTTTTCTGCTGTGTATAGCCTGACAAAGGTTTTCAGCTCTATACAAAGGGTAAGGAAAGCCATATGTCACCCATGTAATTGGCTGCCTCCCAGGCTTGCCTCAATACCGGCTACTTCGTTCCACTTTCCATCTCTTCTCGAGTGAAGGGGAGCCTCAAAAGCCAGGCAGATAAGGAAGAAATTGGTGAAGGGAAAAAGTGGCTATCAAGACTACTTACCTGAGCTAACTTGCCATGCAGAGCCCTCCAAAGCTCCTCTTTTCTGGGCCAGAAGCCTGGCATTCTGAACAGCAGGGGACTCATACACAGTAGAGAAAGGTCTCACTTCCATTCTGTCTTCCTCTTCATCATCATCATCATCGTCGTCGTCATCGTCGTCATCGTCGTCGTCATCATCATTATCATCATCATCTTCTTCATCATCTTCATCTTCCAAGTCATTACCTTCCTCTTCTTCCTCTCCCTCCATTTGGTCTTGCAGGGCCTTTTTCTCTTCCTTCTCTTTTTGATTATCACCATTAGGGCTGCCCTGCTCCCTCTGCTGCTGGGTCTGTCCTTCAGACCCACAACTGGAACTAGATGGTTTGACACTCCAATACAAGCTGTCCAGTGTGTAAGGAGACTTCTCAATGTGGAGGGACTCTGAGTCCTCCTTTGGCAAGTTGTTTTCTTCATTCTGAGTATAAATGGAACATATGCGCAGCAACTTCTCCTGTTCCCCATCTGGCAGGACCTGTCCCATGGCTTTGAAGACACTGAGCAAAGGGAGGGATGGGGTAGGAAAGATTCAAAATTTCAAATCACTTCATACCCCAACACTCTCAAGTTTGAACTCGGTCTCTTATGCTTTCACACCTGCCTCTGAAAGGCAGTAAAGTAGAGCAAACAACATAGAAACAAAAAGATCATGGACTCCAAACAGTCTTTGCAGTTCGTCTCTGTTACTCACTTCCATTCTCAATGAGGGTAATACTGGTACCTAATTTCTAGGGCCCTTGGAATAAATAAGAACATTCATATAGAATGCCTGGCACAGTGCCAGGTACATAGTGGGCATGCAATAAATGAAAGCAATTAGTTTGCACTAGAATTCTACATTAATACACTAACTATCCAATAGGCCTGCAGGGCTGGAAGTGAGAATGGCACGTCTCTCTCTTCTCTGACCTAGCTTTGTTATCTATCCTGAGACCCAAGAATGTGCATAGAAAAGGGTGCTGGGGTCTTGAGGTATGAGACACAGTGTGAACCTTTTACAGGAGCAGCTACAGACCAGTCCAGAATAGAGGAAAAAGGGAAAAAAAGCAGCAGTTGACAAGACAAAGCAGAATGCAGAGGGGAGGCCTAATAGGCCCTGTGGACCCACTGTGGGCACTAAGGCAGCTGGGAAAAGGCAGGGAACACAAGGAGGGAGAAGAAATCAAGGGAGGGCTTTGTGCTGGAGTTGAGGCCCAGGAAGACCAGAGATAAAGAGCAAGCAACCATGCATATGTTAACAGTAGCATGGCTAAAGGATAAGGCCTATGCTGAAGAGCCATGGGAGGAAAAGACGATGGCTGGAAGGCTGGGTGTGTGTGTTGGGAATTAGGTCACCTGTCAACTCTGAGCACAGGTTAAGGGCATTTCTGAAGTTCACCATGGTGACCACATGGAGGATGGCCCAGGCAGGGTAGCCTGGAGGCAGGGAGACCAAGGAGGAGCCTGTTCAGACATTTCACGCCAGAGTCGGTGAGGACTGACCTAGGGCACTGGCAGTAGAGATGGGAGGGAGAAGTTGTGAAGGACAAACAGACAAAGAGCAAGGCTTGATGACTGATGGCAAGGGTTGAGCACAGAATTAAAGATGATGACGTCATGCACACAACAGACAGCGCTAACAGCAAAATCACCAACAACCAACAGATACGGAGCCACTGGGGAGAAAGAGGGCAAGCATGCTGCATAGAGCCTCATGTTAGAACCTGGCCACCAACAAGCCCAGGCATTGCTGGACATGTGGACAGAGCGGAGGGACAGTGAGTGCCCTTCTAGTTGTACTAAGTGTGAATCATGTGTGATTGTTCACAGTAGGACCATATGCTCAGTGGCCTGTTTTCTCCCTCAGCACATGACCACACATCTTAGGGCAGGGCAATAGTGACTCAAAATGGAGAAAAAGAGTCCCTCTTTGTGAGGTTAATTTCATATTCTAAGAGGACACTGGTCCAAATTGAATTGATATTGGCTGGCTGGGGTAAGCTCTTGAAAAGCATCTAACTTTATTAGAGAAGCTAGAGAGAAACTCTCTGCTCTCTCACTGTGGCCCATCAGTGTGATAAATAAATATTCCTAGCACTTGATATTGGCAAGATGCCTTATCACCACTGTTGATTATTGCCCACTCACTATCTCTGGTGGTCTAGCCTGTCCACTAAGGTGCAGAGGTGACAATGAATCCCAAAATATATCTTCTTCCTTGGATGTGCCTGGTCACAGCTCAGGACTGAGAAAATCACAGGTTCACACTGGTGAAAAGATGGCAGACTTTGCACTCATGGGACCTGGGCCCAGATCCCTGTCTTGCTGTCAACAAATCATGTGAGTTTTACATTAAGTCACTTCATTCCTCAGAGCCTCAGTGACTTATCTGCCAAAGGATACCATATCTTTACTTCCCAAAATCGCTGTGTAAAATTAAATAACTTATATCAAAAACGAAAAAACAAAACAAACAAACAAAAAACCCCACAGCACCATGCCTGACACTTAATTGCCAGTGGTATCTTTTATTTTTTCTGGGGAAACCAAAGAACAAGTTGTGCATCAACCTAATAACAAATGCTTTCTGCAACAGTATCATCTAGTGGTACATTATGGAAGAACAGAGGACTAAGGGCAGACTACCTGGATTGTGGCCTTAGCTTTAACTGGCAGCATAATACCTGGGCACATTCTATTTTCCTGAGTAATGAGGTGGTTAGGACTAAATTCACTGATTATCTGCGACAGGCAGGATCCGTGCACAAGGAATCATACCCAAGTGAGCCGCTGTTACTGCTGGCATGTGTCGCATCCCTCTGGTATGCTTGGGCTGGGAGAAGATCTCTGTGGTTCAGACTTCTCCAATACCAGCAGCTTCCACTCTGCAGGCACTTAGGATTGGAAAGTACCTTGAAAGCCACCTATCCAAACCTCTCCATGCTACTGCTTTCATTTCCCCACCCCAGTATATACATGTCATGTTCCTTCTGAACTTTGAAATTTCCTTTATTCTTTTTCTTGCATGAATTGTTCAGATGCCTCATCTGTAATGCTCTTCCTAACTCTTCCAGGCCCTTCTGGTTCTCCTCCCACTTCCTCACCCCCACCTACATCACTTCTAGAGTACACCTATCTGGCAATGTGGTTGTCTTGCTCAGTCCCTTCTCCCAGAGATCTTGCTTTGGCTGACTTTGTCTACAAGGCCATGTTTTTGATCTTATAAACACTACTGTGCCTCAAATTTCCTAAGGACTCAAGAAAGACTTCTGGATTCAATAGGCAGTCAGGACTAAGAGTCCTGACATCCCCTTTCCATAATTCATTCATTCCTCAAGCATTAGGTCAGCTTCTGCCAAGGACAGCACTGCTGGCAATGAGATAGCAGAGAACAGTGGCGTTCAATGATGTTTACTAAGGCTGTTTGGTGCCTGGATTTGTGTGGTGTGCTAGGCACAGAGAGCTAATGCACAGTCCTTGCCCTTGAAAACAGCTTAGTCTGATAGAGCGAAAGAAAACACTGGGGAAAATAGAATGGAAACACAAAATCTCAGATTTGGGAAGTATTCCAGTCAATATGAGGGGTAGATGTTGCTGCCACCAAGTGAGATAGGACAGAGAAAGATCATTTTTGAGCTGGGGTGTAAAGTATAATGACCAATTTTCTTTTGGTTACAGTAAGGTGCCTGCAGAACATCTAAGTGGAGATGTTTGGCATGCAGTTGAGTTTAGGAAGGTGAAATGTGTAGGAAAGACCTGGGCTATATAGTAACTTGGGCCTCTGCACTTTACAGTACCTAATAATAAGCACAGGAATATCTAGGAGGGAGTGGTTAACACCATCAATGTAGTAGGCATGGAGACTGCTAAGGGCCCACTGGATTTGGTAATTAGGTCAAAGTAGCTCTGGAAGCGAGCATCAAATCGCAGGAGATTGAAAAGGGTAGTGAGAAAACTGAGATTGCTAGGTGAGGTCTATTCTTTTGAGATAGCAGGGGAAGGTATAAATAAGCTCATAATAACCCAAGAGAGAGTTGTAGTGTCAAAGCAGATTTTTCTTATGCTGTTGTTATTGTTGCTTTAAGATGACAAAAACACAACATGTTCATAAATTGAAGAGCAAGAGCCAGTAGAGCAAAGGAGAGGCTGGGATGAGGCCCCAGCGATGCTGGCAGAGGTGACTCCAGAGGACATGTGGAGGAGCAGACTTTGAGGTGGGCCAATGCCACCTCATCCTGAGATTGGCGAGAAGGTTGACTGAAGCTGCAGATCAGTTCACAAGGGCTGGACCTCAGGTCAAGGGGGCCCTGTTGGATGCTTCCATGTGCTCGAGGAAGCTAGGGTGAAATAGGAGAGAAGGGGCTTGAGGTAAGTGGTAAAGATTTAGAATAGTCAGGGAATGGGAGAGAAAGTGGTCAGAAAACAAGCAAAAGTTCAGATAGGCAGAACTGAGGCCTAGTCCACGATTAAAAATCATACCTCTGCAGTGGCAGCAATCCTCAGGGCTATGTGGTTTTCTCCAGCAGAGCTCAGCTACCCGGGCTGAGGAGCGGAGGAAGCAGAGTGGGGAAGATCAATCCCAGTTTGGGAGTTTACAAGTCAGATACAGCCAAAAGGTGAGCAGAGCTGAGGATGATGATGATGCATAGCTAAAGTGATCAACCACAGACAGTACTAGGCATAACCAAGGTCAAAGGAGGGAGGAGATGGAGGGATGGAGGTCTGGATGCATTCAAAGACCAGGTGTCATGAGACGTGAGGATGAGAACTAGGACTAGAGGTGGGATGCTTGGAATCAGCTTTTAAATATGGAACAGCTCTAAGTGATGAAAATGGATTGCTGACAATAGAAGAAAATGAAAGTCACTGGAGTTGATGAGCTGCAGTGTCAGGTAGGTCACCCAAATGAAACAGATATTGCTTCAGAAAGCAGAAAGAGAATTAGGTGCTGAAGGCTTCCATGAGAATGACGGAAGTGGCTTGGGGTCAGGAAATGACACAGAAAAGGAAAGGGAGACAACCACAAGTATTTACAGGAACCAATGCAATATTCATAGAACCCAGGGCAGACTGGGCAAAAAGGGAGACACAGGATGTATGGTTACTATGACAGATAGGGCCAGAATCAGAAAAATTTCTGAACATCAGGCTAAGAAGCCTTAACTTCATCAGGAAAGCAATAGTGAGCTGCTGGCTGAAGGTTGTTGGTCAACTATCAAAGGTATCCTTTGGGAAGATAATACAGATAGTACTGGCCTTAGCGTCACCAGCCCTGGGTTCAATAATAAACAGCAGTTACCAGTTATTGTGCACTTACTCTGTGCAGGCCACTGTACTAAGCATTGTCACACTAGATTCACTTCAGCCAAGGGTTAAACTACATGATCTTAGGTGAGGATATACTATCTTTCCCCTCTCCGGACTTTGTTCCCCTATCTGTTAGTAGGAGACTGAGCTAGATGTCCTTGAAAAGTCCTTTCAACTTGGCCATTCTAGGGCTGTGTGGCCCTGAAGCTTGCAGGGCATCACCTTCTTACCAGATGGAATTCAAGAGACTTACAGCTGAAGGAGTTGGGGGCTGGCCCAGCAAGGTGAGCCTAAGCAGGACTCAACCACCTGGGGCCAGTCAAGGGAGGCAGAGCTGTTGAATAGCCTCCAGTTCCTTCTTGCTTCCCACTGGCTTGCAGAAAATCGATGAGCATTCGGTCCTAAGACAGAAAAGAGGCCCTGAGGATAAGAAGCCAGTTAGACCACACCTAATATTTTACCTTGACAAATTTGGCTCTGTCCTTCCCCATTCCCTCCAGACTGACCACCCTGTACCTCTCAACTGCTCAAAGCATCCTGGGCACTTTGCCCCAACCTATTTTAGTTGGCTGTGACAAGAAAAAGGGTAAGGGAAATCTGTTTGGTGATGCCCTCAGGGCTCTCCTGGACAAACCTAAATCATTAAAGCTTGAAGTTTTTTAACAGAAAGCTGTGAATAGTGATAAATGCTCTTGCCTGGACTGCCTTAGCCTCTGGGGCTAGGGCTAATCTCCCTCACCAGATTTAGTGTTGGCCACGATCAGTTCAATGGTCCATCTAAGGATGTAGCTGGGCCGGATCCCACTGTCCTCCAAGGCTGACAGCTCAGAGAACATCCTCTCCAGCAGGGCCTGCGTGAAGGTCTGGGAGTGCAGGCCCCTGAGCAGGGGCTGCCAGAACTGAGAGAACGGCTTTGGTACCAAGACGTCATTCAAGTCCACATTTTCTGTTTTATGATGGAGGGAGGGTAAGGGGAGGGCAGAGACAAAGAGAAAGCAGAAGGGCACACATGCCCCACCAACAACAGAATTGACACAGAAGAAAGGAGGAAAGAGAACAGAAGAGAAGAGAAACTAGTTAGTATTGGGTAGCCAACAGCTGATTCAAAATAAAGTATAAAATAAAAAGAACTCAGATTCTAGCTTCAACTTTTGTCAATAACTCACTGTGTGATTTTGGATCAGTACCTTCCCCTCTCTGGACCTCAGTATGACCATATGTAACATGAAGATGTTGGACTACACGACCTCACAAGGCCCTTCCAGTGCAGCTGTTCTAGCTCTCTAGCTAGAGGCTAAATCACAATTAACATGGCACAATAATGGCACTGAGACCCCCCTCAACCCTACCCACCCAACCCACCCTACCCCACCCAATTCTAGGCCACCCAAGGATGGGCCAACAACTGTATATCAGTAGGGCTACTTATTCTGCTCAACCAGAAGGGTTGAAGGAATTTCCCCCTTGACCCAGGGCTCCCCAGACTACCTCTGGTATTCTCACCCAGGGAACACAGAATCCCAAGGCTTCAAAGATCCCCTAAGACCCTACCTTCATACTCTATCTGCAAGACTGCCAACTGCTCAAATGTGGGAACGAGGAAGCCATCATCCAGAAAAGCATCCAGCACAGCATTCCTGAAGAGGACACTAGTTTAGCTGGGCATGGTTAATTAACACTTGTAGTCCTGACTATTCAGAATGAGGCAGGAGGGTTCGAGTTTAGGAGTTCAGGGACAGCCGGGGCAATATACTAAGACTTTATCTCCAGGAGAGGTAGGCCATTTCCAAATATAAATATAATTGGTCTATTAGTTATTTTAAACTGAAAAGACTTAAAGGGGCTGAGGTTTCTCAGTGGTAGAGCACTAGCTTGATCACCAGTACCACAAACAATGAAAAGGACACTAGTTTAGCAAACTGAACCTGATAGCAGACCCTCACCTATTCCCCTGCCCAGTTCTAAAGCAGCCTTGCTGAAGATGGGGCAAGTAAGAGTTGATCCTAGGCTTTAGCCTCCTGGAGCAGGGACTGAGCCAAAGGATGAGATCAGTAGGTTTTTAACATATATTTACCAAGCATATGCTGATCTAAAGCCCAGAATGTAGGCAGTAGTAGCTGAATATACCTCAAAACACAGAAGGAATGAAAATCTCAGGCCCACAGAGAAAACAGTTAAATGCCTAGGACATGGTCAAGGGCTTTCAGACATCAGTTCCTGCAGTCCTTTTGCTTCTCTTGACCATTTATCCAGTCCCCCTATACGGCGCCCCATCTCTATGGCTGCCTTCTTTTAAAATCTTGGAGACTCAATTTCCAGCCCAAACATGATCCATAGGCCTTCTTCCTAAGGACTGCAAGAACCCAAAACAAAGTTAGAGAGGCTAAAGAAGTAGACTCTGTGGGTATTCTTTCATTCCCGTGCAACTCAAAACTAAAACAGCAACAGCAGGCTGATTCCTGCAGAGGTAGGAGCTTCCCAAGAGAATATCCTAGCTGACCACGCCTACAGGAGGAAAAACAGTTCCCAGAGTATTCCAGTGCCTGTAGGGTTGACACTACACTCAAGATTCCTTCCTGTAGCAGACCAAGTTTGAAAAGAAAATATTTATCTCATGTTGATATCTAAAAAGAACATTTAGGGGGCTGAGGATTTAGCTCAGTGGTTCGGTGGCCTGCCTTGCAAGCGCAAGGACCGTGGTTCAATCCCCGGTACCCCCCCAAAAAAAGAACATTTAAAGCAGCCTACCAGCTGTTTGTGCAGCACTACCAGGCAGGCACTACAATGTGCACACACAAGGATGGTTTTCCCACCACCACTCACTTTTTCGCTAAAGAGTTAAGAAATCCAGTCTGGGAGACTGATTTTAAAACGCCTCTGGAACTACTCTTGTCTTGAGAATAAAAGAGAAAACTCCAGGGACAATTCCACCCTACACTAGAAGAACGTGATTTCTAATAGCCTAGCACTAAGAAGGCCCTGTGTCTATTCCAACTGACCAACAAAGGAATGCTCACAGCCTACAATAGCAGTTTCCAAGAACAGACCAGCAGTGTCTACCATGTATCTTTTACCTCAGACTTGGGTCAAAGGCTAGGCAGTGAGGTACTAAGGATCATAGGCTTTTCCTACATGCCAAGAACATCACATACCTCCTGACAGGAAAAAATTTGGCCAAACAATACAAGAGTAGGACGGATGACAATGAATATTCCTACTGTTGGCCATTCCAGTGACTCACAGTAGGCAACTCCCACCTAGTCACTGGCAGGGGCAGGGACAGGAGGTCAGGCAGAACATAGGGTCACCGTATAGGAGATCAGGATTACCCTGGATTTCCCATACCATAGGCTGGCAAGCTAGGACAAGGAAACTTATTTCAATAAGGCTGCTACCCGCCTCCCTAGATAGCAGGTACCCCCCTACCCGATTACCTGCTTACGTACCTGTTTTCTGAAGCAATGCCTTTGAGCTCTGCCAAGATGCCTTCTATACGTGGAGATAGATTATTCCATGCCTTAATGGCCTGAGGTAAATACTTAAATTTCTCCAGCACCTGCCAGTATAAAGGGTCCCATCAGAAGGCTAGTTTAGCTAGGCAACCCACCCTCAACCCTCCAGAATCTCTTCCCTAGAAATTCAGGACTGTCTTATGGGGGGCAGGGCACTGTGTGCAGGGGTGGGCCCATAACTATCCTGTTGGCCCTGCAACAAAAAATACAGCAAACAAAATACCCTTTAAATGACAGAGCTTTTTCTCCTCCTGTCTCTCTATCTCCCCTGAATTCCCTGTGGTTTCCAATTATTAAATACACTAATGCTAAGATGTCCAGTGGAAGCATTTCATTGGAGATGGACAGAGCTCTTTGGGACAAAAGGTGAGAAGTGATGGGAGACAATTGGTCATGAATGGGAATCAGGAGACCCAAATTCTTATTATGGGTCTTTCACTGACTATATATGTGACCTTGGGTCTGTCCTTTCACTCATCCATGAATTCAATTTCTCCACTTGTGAATATAAGCTAAATAGTTTCTAAGCTACCTCCCTAATAAAACTGCACCTCTCCAGCTCACCGGATCTAGGGAAGGTCTTCTGCCCCACCTGCTGGTCGGATGTAGAATTGCAACTATCCGTTCCCAGTTGTCCTCTACCACCCATGGGGCGGATTATCCACAAACTTGATCATCTGCATCTTTCCATCAGTGTGGAAGATCATCCAATCGGACTCTGCCACTCTTGTCTCATTCCTAGTTCCCCTCTTTCTGAGAAGTTCCCTCATGCTTTGTCACTTTCCTTTCAAATTCCTTCTCAAGACTTCTCTCAGGTAGCTGGCAAGAGGGAAGAAATAGCTGGAGCAAGTGAGAACATGTCAGGTCAAGGGTCCTTTCTTACCTTAAATTGTTCCTCTTCATATGATACTAGCAATGCTCGTGCTTTTTCTGAAAACAAAATGGGGACACAGATGGGGCAGCCACCCCAGCTTGCAACAGGATTTTAAGACTCCACTTTATTTGGTGGAGGTCGTAAATTGAGAACTAGAATTCCTCCCTCATATACTTCACAGAGATCAAGGAAGGTGCTTTGTGAGGCAGATGTGATAACCACTATACCATGGAAACTAGCCAGAGTGGGTTTTAAGCCCAAAACATCACAGCCCCAGAAAAAATGCTGAGACAGGGAAATAACCAGCACCAACCCTAAGACTGATCATTCCAGGCTCATGGTCCCCTCTTTGCCACCAGACACCTACCATACAACTCTTTATGTCCCAGAGCCTTTTCCCAATGAGAATCCACCTCTTCACTGTCTTTATTGTCTCCATCAGCTTTGACATCCAACTCTGCATCTTTGCCATGGTCCTGAGGCTCTAGTCTCTGTTCTGTGATGTCATCAACACCAATATTCTTATCTACCTCTTGGTCTTCTTCCATGTCTGCCTTGTCCTCCTCCAACTCCCAGGTGTCTCTCAGGCTGTTTTCCAGTTGGTGGCACCAATAGGTCTTCTGGAGCCAACCCAGGACAAAGTAGCAGCCTAAAAAAGGCAAGGAAGGTAGTGCCACAGGACCAGGCACAGGCCAACATCTAACAGATCCTCAGCTCTCTGGACTTCCTCATCTTGTGAGCATTATGAAAAAACCTGAAGGAAGAGGTTTGGCTCAAAGGCTCAAATCTCACATATCCAGATACAGTCACTCTCACCCTGGGTTATCTGCATTTTTTGCTTTCTCCTATTTACCAGAACTTTTCCTAGAAAAAAAAACTATTATAGGAGTTAAGATATCAAAAACAAACACACACAAACAAACAAAAAACCAAAACCAGCAAGGGGTGTAAGTGGGAAAACTAGACCTAGCTCCATTGGTTCATTACATGGCCTTGGCCAAGAATCTTTCTTTTTCTAGATCTCAGTTATCCTAATGCAAAGGGCAAGGTTAAAAAAGGAGTTAAATGAGTTGGAATGGATGTCGCAACAACTCCTGGGGTGTGAAGGTTTTAATGGCTCATAGTGCTCAACTTACTCCTCCCATCCCTGCTAGGATGAGGCTAATAAGAAACTACCTCAGGAGCAAAATTTAAGGGGCAAACAACTGTAATCAAGGTATCAAAACAGGATCAGAACAGTTCTCTACCAAGCCATATGTAAGGCTGAAGCAAAAAAAAAAATCAGTAATGTTCATCCTTTGCTTCTTCTTTTTTGTGTTCATCAGAGATTTTTCCACATTAAAATGCTACTTAACATGATCACTGAACTTTTGATATCCCATTAAATTTTGTACCGAAGGTAAGTCTCCTACTTGTTTCATTGTAGTCCCTGGTAGTAAGTTCTTTCCTATTCCACTATCCTAATGCCACTTAGCCCAGGCCTTATCTGTAACAGGTTTACCCCAGGGGACTCACCTCTGCGACAGTCATTTAGATGGGGCATTTTCTTGTGTGTCAATTCATGGCGAAGTTCAACAATCCAATCAGGAATGTTCACCTGATGGGGGTGGTGAATATAGAAATTAGAGAATATTAAAGTTAGAGGAGACCCAGAAATAAATTAGCCTGACCATTCCCTCTGCTTTACAGACAGACAAACTGAAGTCCTGAGAGAAGAGTCCAGTCTTCCTGACAGGGCCAAGATTAAAAACCAAATCTCATGATTAATTTTTAGTCTTTAGTAGAGGTGGTCTTAAAAATCAAAAAGGTACCCACCTTCCCCAACCACCAACTACTCTCCCATAGGAGAGTGGATTAGCATTAACAGCTTCTTCAGCCTCCTTCTACCCTTTCCCTCTTCCTGGGTCCCCTTATCCTTGTATACCTCCCTATCTCCTCCAGGAAGCTTTTCTAGATGACTGAGAACACATTGCCATCTGAGTCTCACACTACATACTCATTCAGGAGAGGAATCCCTGACATTTTCATGCGCCTCAGTGGAGCTATCAGCTCCCTCAGACTATCAGCTCTCTGAGGGCAGGCAGTATGACTGCCACCTCTTTCCTGTCCCCACACAGTAGTACATTTGGGCTCTTCAGCTACATTTGGCCACTCCCAGCAAGGCAAACTCACCAAGTCTTGTGAGATACAAGTCATGAAGAGTAAGAGAACAAATCTGCTTCCTTCTTTTGTTTGTTTGCTTGCTTTTTGAGACAGGGTCTCACTATGTAGTTCACACTGACCTGGAACTCACTATGTAGCCCAGGCTGATCTCAAACTCACAGCGATCCTTCTGCCTCAGCCTCCCAAGTGCTGGGATTACAGGCGTGAGCTACCACGTCCAGCTCAATTCTGCTTCTTTTAAACTGAAAGAAGAAGCTCTCAGTTTTTGCTGGTCTTGGCTAGTAGTGATGGGATGAGCTAATCTAACTGTGTGCACACCTTACCCCATTCCCCATTTAAGAAACTCTCCTGGAGAGAATCGAGCAAGGCCATTTTATCTTACATACCTCCTGAGCCAGGAACTTGAGGGGGAGCTTGGTTAACTTTGTCTTCCTTTCAGAGATAAGATTCACAAACCTATTGTGGGGGGAGAAGTAAGTTGCACAGCCCAAGGAACAATTTTGCTCAAAACACCTTGCTCAATTACTGACATCTTACATTTTCATAACCTTTCCACTGATCATCTTGTTCTTATGGTTGGTGTCAACCAGAAAATGGATAGTTCCATTACTAAAATGTAATGTGTTATAGAAACTAGAACAAAGGACTGTATTGGATTACAAGGGGAGCACAGCAAAATGATGCAAGAGGTAAAAGAAGAAAGGAAGGATCTCAAGGTAGATATTGGGTCAGTATGACAAAAGGCTTTGACATATGAGAAAACTCAGTGGCAACCTTTTCCTGATGTGTATGGAACAGCTACAACTTGTATGAGTCACTTTGTAAGTCAGGAACTCCCAGCCCATGTCTTCACTTCCATAACCTGGCAACCTTTCAGGGTTTGCAGAGGAGAGGAAATGGAAAAGGGTGGTGATAGGTGTAGATAGAATAAAGTTGGAAAATCCAAACTAAATCACAGTCAAGGGCAACGAACCACTCTGAAAAGTTCCTCTGGTTGGAGTAAAAGGGAGAAAAAAATCAGGCTACGAAAGTTGTAAATCACCCAATAGAGATCACCTGGTCTGAATCCTTCCCATCCTGCCACACACATACACTCTAAGAGGGAAGAAAAGTGGAATAGAGGGGGTTCCAGGAAAAGAGGCGAAAAAGATTATGGTGATGGAAGTACCAAAAGCTGTGAAATCAACAAATCACAGGCTGATTCAAACTCAGAGACTCTCAGGGCTTTTGTGCTTCAGATACCACCTGAGGCCACGCTTTGCTTATCACATGCTTATCACACGCCAGTCCCCAAAGCCACCCTCCCCACCATGCAGATCTTACCTGACCAATGCCATGCCATAGAGCAGTCTAAGTTCATCAGTGCCCAAGCCACCAGTTACATCCATGAGCTTACAGCGTATCAGGTCAGCAGTAGAAGCCACTGCCAGGGGGAGTTCGTTGCCTAACCTAAAGGGCCACAATCCAGCACCATCACAAAGGACCTTTATACTGATTCATCCTCTCTACCTCAGAATCTTGGTTGTTGCGGGATATTCCCACTAAATACTGTCTCAAGAGTGCATGAAGATATCAAACAAAAAGGTGAGAGAGACAAGGTAATGTCCATAAGATCCAACATTAATAGAGGGCATAAGAGGCTGACTAGGGTGTACAAGAGGCATCTATCTGCTAGACTGTCAATCAACAGTTGTGTGGACACACCCTTTTCACCCTCAAACCCTGAAACCCATATCCCTTGCTAGTCTGTGCCCAACCCAACATTAACTGGACTGAGGCACCCCACTCAAACATGTTTTGAGGGGCAAGAACCCCTCCCATTTTCCCTAACTCGAATCGCAAATTCAACTTAGGGTGTTAATCTATTCCTTAAACCCTGACTCAGGCCCTCCAGCACCCTCTCCAAGAAAGCAGGAAGGTTGCTTTTTGGAAGTAACGGCTAAACTTCACAGATTTAACAAGAGGACTGTTGAGACACAACCTCTTACTTTCCATCCACAAACTGAATTCGTTCAAGAGCTTGCATCAGACTTTCCCCCAGACAATTAGAAGACCTAAGACTAGAGCCTTTTAGGAACTCGACAAAGAACGTGAAGAAACACCAGCACGCAGGCAAAAGGTCTGAGCCCGCCTCCGCCTTACCTGCTCCTCCACACCGTGATGCGGTTCAGCGCATACCGTTGCAATTTATGGTCATCACAGAACAGATAGACCGTCACCTGCTCCCATTCAGCCCTGCTGAGCCAAGCGACCACGATGCTCTGAGCCAATGGTGGCATCGACCCTTTTTCTTTGATGCACTTTCCGTACCATGCACTCCATATTCGATCCATCCCCCAGGAACTTAGACCTAACCCAGCACGGGATTCCCACCAGAAATGGGATAGTTTCCAGGATCCGTCCCGGACCGTCCACAATCTGCAGCTCAGCGTGCTACCCTCACTCCAATCCGCGGCTGCGACAGCAGCCAATGAGAAGGAGTGACCCCGACGCAAACCCGCCTCCTAGTGCTAGTATGGCCAATCGGAACGTGGGACTGGGGGACCGCCCTTATCACATGGGTATTATGACCCTGTGGGCCGGAAGTGTTCATTTCTTTAAGCAGCACGATCAGCTGCAAGAGTGCAACCCCTAGGTTCCGCCACTTTCTAGGCTGCTGACAGACTTCTGTCCTGACCGGAAAGGGAATGTCTGTACAGCCGGGAAATATTTTGCGCCCCTTGGCGGGCGGCTGTGGAGTTGTGAATGGCTGCTGTGCTTCCTGGAACTTCGCTTTTAGGTAGGATTTTATTCCCATGAATCAGAACCTAATCCATTGAACACTTTAGTTACTAAGGCAGGAAGGACTACACAGAAAATATCTAGTATAGCGGGGGATGTAGGTCAGCAGTGCCCCGCCTGCCTGCCAAAGCACAAGGTCCTGAGTTCAATTCCCGACACGAAATAAATAATAATAATAATAATATACAGATAGTTAAGGTCGAGTATTTTTAAAAATCCGTTTTCTTGGCACGTACTCAGGGTCCTTGCTTTCCAAATTAGTACCATCCTGTTTCTGCAGTGATAGGAAGTGTGAGTGACTGGAATGAGATTTTTTTTTTTTTGAGACAGGCTCTCTCTTTGTAGTTCAGGCTGGCCTTGAACTCACTATGTAGCCCAGGCTGGCCTCAAACTCGCGGCGATCCTCCTGCCTCAGTCTCCCTAGTGCTGGAAATACAGGTATGCGCCCCCACACCCAGCGAGAATTGTTTTGAGATTGTAGAGACCTGCATTGTAGGCTTGACAGCGCCTGCCTGGCAAGAGCAGGGTCCTGAGTTCAATTCCAGTAAAAAAAAGAAAAAAAGAAAAAAAAAAGAATGTAGGCTTGAGTTTGGCTACTGTGTGATCTTGCACAAGTCTCTGCCCCTCTTAGTTTTTTGTTTTTTGAAAGCTGTACCATGAGGGTTTAGACTGATCTCTAGTTTTATTCCATTGCTTAAAATTTTAGGGTTTTACTCTGCCTGCATTCCATTGATGTTGGTTTCAAAATCTTAAAGGTATAGGTTTGTTGCTTTTTTTTAACCCCTGCATACTCCTGGGGATTTGAGAGTTCTGGGTTGAAAACAATATTATGAAGCCCTTCCAGTTTAACAGGTTGACTACAATGTTTTTAGGACTCTATCCAAATCCTCACAGGAATTATTTCCCATTTAACCCTTGTTTTTTTTTTTTTTAGACAGGATCTCACTATGTGGTTGAGGCTGACCTGGAACTCACTATGTAGCCCAGGCTGGTCTTGAACTCATAGTGATCCTCCTGCCTCAGCCGCCCAAGTACTGGGATTACAGGCGTGTGTCACCACGCCCAGCTTGGTAGCAATTTTAATATTGTTGATAGTGGTTCTTTTACACTTTGCAGCAACAAATCACAATTCATTCTCTGTATGTGCTTCATTTTTCAGCCATTTTCTCCTAAAGGGTAATTTGCCTTTGGTTCTTTTAACCTTCTATGTCTTTTTTTTCTTTTCTGGTTTTTTGAGACAGGGCCTCACTACGTAGTTGACACTGACCTGGAACTGACTATGTAGCCCAGGCAGGTCTCAAACTCACAGCAGTCCTCCTGCCTCAGCCTCTGGAGTGCTGGGATTACAGGTGTGCACCACCACACCCAGCCCTTAACCTTCTTTGTCTTTATCTTGTTAGCACTACCTAGAACACTCTCCTTCCTTCCCTCTTTCTGACAAACAACTATTCATCTATAAGATTCAAGATCCTTCTGGGTATGGTGGTGCATCCTCCAGCTATTCAGGGTGCTGTAACCAGAAGACCAAGTTTGAGCCTGCCTGGTCAATTTAGTGAGACCTTGACTCAAAATAAAATTTTAAAAGGATCTGGGAATGTAGCTAGCTCGATAGTAGGGTGCTTGCCAAGCATGCACAGAAGCCCTGGGTTCAGGCTTCAGAAAAAAAGTCTGAATCCTTTGTCAAATCCAATTTCCTCAAGGGAATCATTCAACAATCTATGGGAGCCATGAGGAAGGGGAAGGAATTTGCTGCAGCAATGTGGTCCTATGCAATTAGCTGGTATATCTGCCACACCCTTTTCTGAGTCTCCACAACATTTTGTACATCCTTCTATTTGAGGAAAAGAGAAGAAGAAATACTTGTTGAATACCTGCGTTGGGCCAGGCTTTGTGTTAAGTGCTTGACAACACTGAGCTTTATCTGAGCCCTAGGCTCCAGGAAAGCAGCTAGATTTGAGTAATCCTTTCACCCTTTTGTGTTCCAAAACTGGCTCACTGCAAAAGACCACAATACCCTTTCAAGTTCCTGGAGATAGACCCTCTCCATCTTCATGACTCTCAGAAGACTTCTGGATGACTCCTTGTTCACCTCCTTCTAATAAAACTTTGTTTCCTTTCTTTGAGCATTCTCCCTAGTCTGACTAAAATCATTTCCTTAATTGCCCCATGTATTCTGCCTTTTTACTGAAGTTGATTTTGTTTTCATTAATTTACAAATGAGAAAGCTGAAGCTCATGGCCTAAGATGTTGCCATTAAAAAGGGAAAAGTGACTTTCTCACAGGTCTATGTGGCTCTAAAGCCTAGGCCCCATCAACAACCTTCAGACCTAGGGCAATTTTACCTGTCTGCTTCAGACAATGAGAACTTCAAGAGTGGGAATGCCAGTCAGTGATTAACAGTCTTGGGCCTCAAATGATTACTAAATAAATCATATCAACACTCCCTGATAGAGCGTTTCTAAAACTTTTTATATAAATAAAAAGAACTCAAGTCTTTTTGATAAATGGAAAAGCAAAACAAAGCAAAGTCTATGTGAAAGGCTGAAATGCTTGGCTAAAGAAGACTGTGACTTGTCTAGAGAAATAGGTCTTTTAAGGAATTTCAGTCCTGATAGTGGTGGTAAAGTTATGTTTCTTCCAAAACTGCCAGCCTTCAAAATCCTTAAAGTGTCAAAGTTTCCTCAGAGAAGTAGATAACCTATTTGAGAATGCAAGCTCTCTATTGATCAATGGATCACATTTATTGTTCTATCCAGAACCTCAGAACCAAAGGTGGGAATTGATAGTCAACTAACACATCTCATATTAACTGCCTGTTTCTATTGTAGTATCCTGGGTAGAATCATAATATCTTAATGGGAAGGTCCCCCAGTGGTCATCTTACCCAGTTTCTGTCCATAGTAGATTATATCAGTGAAATGGGAACCTGTGCCTTCTTAAGAATTTAATTTAGATGCTAACAGTGCTCACAGTAATAAGTTTTTCTTGTCTAGAAGCATTTATTTCACCTCTACTGACATGGTAAATAGAATTATCAATTCAAAATTCTTACTAAGCCCTTTAATCTCTCAAAACAAGGCCTCTGTTTCCATCTTCAGATTATGTATTCTTCCCTGAAGTACAAGTCAGCTGTTAGGAGATTTTAGGGTACATATTAATATCTTTGTAAGGCAGTACCTTTCAAATATTTTTGGATGCAGACTGATTGTAAGAAATACATTTTACTTCATAGCTCATTTCACACATGTGTGTAACTGAAACAAAAGTTCCACAAAATAAAACATTTATTAAATGCAAATCAACTCAAGGAACGGGGATGTAGCTTAATGGCAGGGCACTTGCCAAAGGTATGCACAAAGTCTTGAGTTCAGTCATCACCACTGCAGAAAAAAATAATGCAATTCAACTGCACTTTACATCTTTCTCAAAATGCTGCTCTTCACAGTTGTGTAAGGGACTCATGAACATATATGACTAACCTGTGAAATCCAAAATCCACCCCTGCACCCTGCCTGGACACCTAACTGTACTGAAATCACACCTTACTGTCTGATGTGCAATTCTATCATCGTTAGCATGGCTTTACTTTTCCAGAACTTCCCTGCTCGCCCAAATGGCATCATTGTTGATTACAGGAATAGCTCATCAACTCTTTAGTGGAAAACATTAACAGAGTTTGAAATTCTCTAATATTCTTTCATCTTTCACCTCAGAATCCTTGTTTTGTGTTTTCACCAATCCTGGAACATTTTATTTTAAACCTTGCCTGACTTTAATAAAGTCCCTGTATTGTAAGACACATCTCAAATCAAACTTCAAATTCTGACCATGCCCTTTACCTAAATGTTGATTGCTTAACCTTCGCAGAGATGGTGTTCTTCTTTTTTCCATTAGCAATAAACTCATATTTGCCTTATTAATAGGTTTATTGGTGATATTTGGGGAACCAGCTTTCACCATACTTCAGAAGGCAGATATAACATAGGAGTCATTGAGGGAAAACTTATAAACAAATAGAAAAGACTAGGTGTCTGCACATTCTGAACTTTCCTTGTTCCATAGCATAGTCACCGATGTTCCATGTGAACCACAAAGTCCCAGGAAATAGGAGCCCTCTGGATAGTAGGCCAGCTGTATGACTAGAAAACCAGAACTCCACATACACACTGGGAAATGGAATTAGGCAACACCTTGCTTCTCTAAGTAACAAGGAAGATATCAGATCAGGAATACTGCTAGGGAAAGTGCACGCCCAGGGGCAAGGTCTATATACAAAGGGAATACTGACATCAGCCAAAGACTTTTTCTTTCTACAGCTGGCTAAACTGTCACCTAAGTTACTGAAAAGTGGAAGAAAAATGAAATTCCAAGACCAACTAGATGTTTCTCTCATGAATTGCTCCAGAAGTGATTCCACTAATAACTATTGGGTTGCAAACTATAGTTTAAAAAATACTGTTCTCACTTTTAGGGCGATTTATATGATCATTATTTCAATTGTGGCCATGGTTTCTCTAGTGTCTACATATATGAAAACTCACCAAATTTTATTCTTCTTCTCTTCCTTATTTCCTCTCTCATTCATTCTAGTGATCAAACACAGGCCTTTAGCTTGCTAGGCACTTGCGCTACCACTAAGCTACACCTCCAGCCGAAATTTTACACATATGTGCAATTTATTATGTGAAAATTACACTTCAAAAACTGTGGAAAATTAACTAGAGGTAGGTCAGAGTGAATTGTATAGATGTATCAAAATTGTTTATATGTTAGTAATTGTTAAAGCTACTTTTGTTTGTCGTTGAAAATGTCTCTTAAATTATTATTTGTGTGCGTGTGTGTGTGTGTGTGTGTGTGTGCTGCTGGGGATTAAACTCAGGGTCTTGTACCCGCTAAGCACATGTTCTGCCACTGAGCTACACCTTCATTCCTGAAGTTTTTCTAAGTAATTTTTTCTGTTGTTTTGAGACTGGGTCTGTGTCGTCCAGGGTGACTTTGAACTTGCTAGCCCAGGCTAGCCTTGAACTCTCAGTCCCCCTACATCAGCCTCTGGAGTGCTGGGATGACAGGCACACGCCATGCCTGGCCCTTCCTAAGTAATTTTTCTTTTTTTTTCCTAAGTACTTTTCAATGAATTTTACCACAGAGGTACG